ACTTGAGCCACAGCACCACTTCCGGCTTTTTTTCTTTTTGCTTATGTGGTGCTGGGGAATCGAACCCAGGGCCTCAGGCATGCAAGGCAAGCGCTATTTTTTTCGATTGGTCGTGGGGCTTGAACTCGGCCTGGGCACTATCCCTCAGCTCTTCAACTCAACGTGAACACTCTACTGCTTGAGCCACAGCACCACTTCTGGTTTTCTAGTGGTTTATTGGAAATAAGACTTTCATGCTCTTTCCTGCCTGGGCTGGCTTTGAACCATGATCCTCAGCCTCCTGAGTAGCTAGGATTACAGGCATGAGCACCAGGCACCCGGCTGGTTTCAAAATTTTTAAATGTAAAATAGCCAGGTGTAAAGGAGGTTGAGATCTGACAATGGCAGTTTGAACCCAACCTAGGCAGGGAAGTCTGAGAATCTTATCACCCATTAAATACCTCAAATAACTGAAGTGGCCTAGCTTCCCAGGAGGCTGAGATCATGGTTCGAAGTAAGCTGGGCAGGAAAGTCCATGAAATTATAATCTGCAATAAACACCAAAAGCTGAAAATGGAACTGTGGCTCAAAGTGGTCAAATGCTAGCCTTGAGCACAAAAGCTCAGAGACAGTGCCCGGGTCATGAGTTCAAGCCCAAGGAGTGGCAGAACAAAACTGGAAATGGAGCAGTAACTCTAATGGTAGAGTGCCAGCTTTGTGCCTAAACAAACAAAAATACATAAAATAGCTTACACCATAGGAAAATGCTAAGTGGAAAATTCAACATTGGTAGACTGGTAGACAGTAAGGTTATCTTTGGGGTTTGTTTTGTTTTAATATTTCTGCCCCAGCTAGCTTTGAACCAAGACCCTGAGACCTCAGTCTCCTGAATAGCTAGGATTATAGGCATGAAACACCAGGGCCCAGCTTTAGGGTGTGTTTGGATAAAGTTGGACATATTATGGTATTTGTAGGAAACTTGGGCTGTCCCTCAGCTCTTCAGCTCAAGGCAAGCACTCTGCCACTTGAACCACAGTGCCACTTCCGGTTTTCTAGTGGTTAGTTGGAGATAGAAACTCATGAACTTTCTTGCCCCAACTGACTTTGAACCATGATCTTCAGATTTCAGCCTTAGTCCCTAGGATTATAAGCATGAGCCACTTAATTTTAGAGTAGATTGCCACCCTCCCCCATGAGGCTTAAACTCTGGACCTGGGTGTTGTCTCTGAGCTCAAGGGCTAGCATTGTACCTAACACTTTGAGTCCTAGCCCCCTTTATGGTTTTCTGGTGGTTACTTAGCGGTGAGTCTTATGGGCTTTCCTGCCTGGGCTGGTGGTCCTCAGATCTCAGCCTCCCAAGTAGCTAGTATTACTGGCGTGAACCACTAGTATATGCTTTTTGTTAAGAGTTTGGAATCATCTGTGATTTCTTTTTTTTTGGGGGGGGGGTCCAGTCTTGGGGCCTGAACTCTGGGCCTGGGCGCTGTCCTTCAGCTCTTCAGCTCAAGGCTAGCACTCTACCACTTGTGCTACAGCGCCACTTCCGGCTTTTTTCTTTTTGCATATGTGGTGCTGAGGAATCGAACCCAGGGCCTCATGCATGCAAGGCAAGCACTCTACCACTGAGCCACCTTCCCAGCCTCTCTTAAAATCTTAAAAATATGAAGAAGGTTGGAGCCTTCAGTTCAGTCCTAATCTCTGTAAAAAGAAAGAAAGAAAAAAAAAAAAGCTGGGCACTGGTGGCTTATGCCAGTGGTATATTTAGGAGACTGAGATATGGCAAGAAAGTCTAAGAGACTCTAATATCTAATCAAACACATGCACAAGCCCAAAATGGTAGGGTGCCAGCCTTGAGAGGAAAAAGCTAAGGGACAGTACCCAATCCTTGAGTTCAAGCCCCAGCACTGGCACACACATACACACACACACAAATCACAGATGAGGGGTTTGGAAGGTGGAGTTTTTTTTTTTTATATATATCTAGTCCACATTTAAATTTTTTTTCTTGGACTGCTGGGGATAAAACCCAGAGCTTCATAGAGCTCAACCAGTAAAGTATGTTCCAAGTCCCCAGATTTTTATCTGTTCCACATTTAGGATCTCATGGGTAAATGATCTGGTATGTGTTAGATTAGACTTGAGTGTAAAATGATTACTTTGTGAAAATAGTTTGTTGAAAGAACATGAGTGAGAATGACTTGACTGATGAGCATACTTCAAGGAAATAACTAAAAATTTCACCTCAGATTTAATTTTGACTTGCAGCTAGAATGACTTTCTGAAACTTAAGTACTTGTCATATGAGAAGTACAGTTCCTTAACTTGATTACCAGATAATTACATTGTCTGATTTAGAATGTGATTATATTAATGCTAGATCATGTTGCTCAAAATTAAACAAGGTAAGATGTTTCTTTGCTTATTTTTTGGCATTGAAGTCAGCTCTTCATTTTCTATATTAAAGATTATTATAAATAACAAGTATATGTACTTTTGGTGCCAGCCCTTAGGGTTGAGGTCAGGGCCTGAGTGCTGCCCCTGAACTCTTGCTCAAAGCTAGCTCTTTACCACTCGGGCCACACCACCACTTCTGGCTTTATGGTGTTTTAATTGGAGATGAGAGTCTCATGGATTTGTCTGCTAGGCATGCTGTTGGACTGGATCTTCAGATCTCAGCCTCCTGAATAGCTAGGATTATAGGCGTGAGCCACCAGCACCCAGCTTTTTAGAAGACTTAAGCTTCATTTTTAGCTCTGCATGGTCCTTCCTGGTTCTGTTGTCATACTAGACAATATCATTACTCACACAAAGTAAAGATTGTTTATGAAGGGCATTGTTGTAGGTTTTTTTTGGTCAGTCCTGGGCCTGAACTCTGGGCCTTGGTGCTGCTGTCCCTCAGTTCTTCAAGGCTAGCGCTCTACCACTTGAGCCATAGCACCACTTCTGGCTTTTTCTGCTTATGTGCTGCTGAGGAATCAAACCCAGGGCCTCATGCATGCAAAGCAAGCACTCTACCACTGAGCCACCTTCCCAGCACCCAGGGCATTGTTTTTTTGTTTTTTTTGTTTTTGTTTTTTGGTCAGTTGTGGGGCTTGAACTCTGGGCCTGGGCCCTGTCCCTCATCTCTTCAGCTCAAGCCAAGTGCTCTGTCACTTGAGCCACAGCACCACTTCCGTTTTTGAGTGGTTTATTGGAGATAAGAGTCTCTGGACTTTCCTGCCTGGGCCTGCCTGGGCCGGCTTTGAACCGCGATCCTCAGATCTCAGCCTCCTCAGTAGCTAGGATTATAGGCGTGGGCATTGTTTTTGTTTTCTATGTTCAGACCTCCTTTTTCCTCTTGGGAAAATGCTTATTGGTCTTTTTGTTGAGTGAAAGTCCTTTCTTGTATGGTTGTGGAAAAATGGATTGGTTAGTTGGTATGTCTCAGGGCCATTTTACCTTTAGTCACGATTTCATTTTGGCATGAGTACTCTGCAGAGCTTGTCTAGATATAAGGAAGCCATTTGTTCTTGATTTGTTTTGAGGTAAGCAGACAGGTTTTCTGGATGAAAGTACATTAAGCGTGACCTAAAAAACATTCCTCTGTGTCTTCACATTTTCAGTCTAGTTTTTCTAGCTCATGTGGAAAATAAAATTATATTTCATTTGGAAAACTGTATCTCAAGCCAGGCACTGGTGGTTCATGCCTATAATCCTAGTTACTCAGGAGGTTGAGATCTGAGGATTGCGGTTCAAATACATCCCAAGGGCTGGGCACCAGTGGCTCACGCCTGTAATCCTAGCTACTTAGGAGGCTGAGATCTGAGGATCGAGATTCAAAG